ACAGGGACTGGGTGTGAGGTTGGAGTCAGAGTCTCCCCAGCCGAGGGGAGCCTTCCGGGCAGGCGGTGCACTTCAGGACAGGCGCTTTTTCCTAGTTGCCTGTGTCCGCCCTTTCTGAAAATAAAGGATGGATGTTAAGGACCTAGGAATGGTGCCAGTGTGGATCAGGTGGGGTGACCTAGCGTCAGCCTGTCTAGGCTCCAGACACTGCTTTAGTGCTCACTGTTGTGTTGCTGTAAACATAATTTGCTCATTTATCATAATCCAGCTAATACAGTTAATACAGTAGTGAACAAGCAACTTTGATTTGCTACTTACTACCTATGTTTCTTAGAAAAATCATTGCCCCCCAACTTGTTTTCCCATAAGAAAACATAATTACATCTATTTCACTACAGGTTGTGAGAATCAAGTGAAATGCTATATGCACAATGCCTCAAGTAAATGTTTCGGCACCCTCTCTTCCTCCAAGATTATGTATAAATAAATGTATGATTTATGAGGTAGAAGGCAGAATATACTAAATTATAAACCTTAGCAGAAACGATGACCACATCTATTTAAAAATTTCTAATTTCCAGATGATCCTAAATTTTTGTTCAAAATCTCAATAATCTAGAAAGTTTAATTCTTCCATTACTCATTTTTTCAAGATTATACTGTTGTACAGAGAATTTAAATACCCAAGGTCATATATCCAGTGTCAGAAGAGAGACATAAACTCAAGTAATGTAGTCTGATAACAGAGCCAAGTTCTCAATTTATGTGAGATTCCTAATGTTGCTGTAACAAATATCCATAAATTCAGTGGTTTAAAGCAACACAAAAGGGTTCAGAGGCCTGTGTTTCTTCTGGGGGCTGTGAGAGGCAAAACCTTCTTTTCTTGCTGTTTATAGCTTCTAAAGATTGCCTACATTTCTTGGCTCATAATCTCCTCCTTTAAACTTGGGAACATCTGTCCTCTATCACTCTGGGCCACATCTGTAAAGTGTCATATATAT